TGCCTAACCTTGCTGAACACTTGGAGCATGAAGGAATGGTAGCTTTCTTCTGTTTATATCAACCATATTCAGGTGAATAGATGGTTGAAAAAAAAACAATAGAGTTGCTGGGAAAATAGGCAGGAGGAATCCATTGCATTTTGTTGGCTGAAGATCCTTTAACACTTATTAAGTGGATTCAAATTCAAAGAAACAGAGCTGCATAGGGACATTGGGACTTGGCTCTGTAATTTTCTGAAGTCTGGCAAATACTTTTGCTTTGGCACAGTTCAGCCACTTTTACTTGCAGGACTGAAGGATCTGGGTCAATAGGCCCTTTGTGCATCTGAGACAAATTTACACATACTGCCTCAAACCACCCGCTGCTTTCACTGACTAAATGTGCCATTCTTTAATTGAGTTTTCTTTAAAAAAAAAACCAAACACAACAAACCAACTATGCTGGAATGAGTGATTACTTATGCAAAAGCCCCTTAAGCTATTAAAAAGAAGCATGAGGTTTTAACACTGAAATTTCTTACGCCCACATTTTTCATATATATTTTTGCAAGTAGAGAAGATTGAATACTAGGATTCAGAAGCCCAGTGAAACCAGGTAGCTAGAACACCAACTGCTAAATGTATATTTTTTTATGCCCAGGAAACCAAAACACAAGGACTGGAAAATGTAGGCAGAAAAATCTCACAAATCTACAGTTTTACAAGGGCACTTAAAAAAAAAAAAAAAGAAAGAAAAAAAAAGAGACTCTAGTTAAATTCCTAGTTAAAATCACATAATAAATTAACCAAGTTTTTTTAATTGTTGTTTATAAATCATTATAATCTACTTGAATTCAGGCATAATCAATCACATTCTTCCATTTAAAACTGTAGCAGGTACAACGGAGTATCACTTATAACTCTTATTAAAATGCCGGGGATTATAAAACATTTTCTAAGACACTGCAATCCTAAGAGGCATGCCCCAAAATGAAGGTATTGTCTAATTCATTAATTGCACACTTCTGCTTAGTTGTCTACATCTAGACCAAATGCTTTCTGAATTTCCAGTTTTAAGAAGTGTTTTCACTGTTGTCATCTTTGTTCCTTATTATCAGTGAGTGATCTAAATTTTATTTTTTCTGCAAGTTAAATACTTATTTTTATATTTGTCTGCATGTTCTCTGTATTCCATCCTTGAGGTAAATCAGCACCAGTAGAGTTAAACTAGCAGTTTGCATTACAAGCTTCTTCCTGACTTACAGTTTAAGATTGTCAGTTTTCAACTTTTGCAATTTTATCGTAAAGAGCATGCTGTTTGGTATTACACAAACACTTCAAATTCTAGAATTACTTATCTTTGAAAAAAATATATTTCATAATAATTTTCAAAAGACTAGATGACTTGGCTATAAAAAAAGAGACTTGAAAATGTGAAACTACTAATGGCAAATCAGAAAGCAAAACAACCTATTGTTTTGTTATCTTAGCTATGCATTGATTGTGTGTGTGGGGAAGAGATTATGAAGCTTGAAATACAATTGCATGAATTCTGAACATCTGAAACATAATGTACCAGCATGAGACAGTTTAAGCTATTGAAAACAGCTGCAATGAGTACTGGGGTCTTTACCATCTTCCAACACAACTGTATTCTTGGCGAGTCTGAGCTGCTTTAGGTTTTCAACCAGGCAGACCCAAATTCTTTTCTGCATGCTGCACATAGGATACATATAGAAACTACACAATTTGTCTTGGATACTTCTTGCACACATCGAGCCTAAGGTTGCTCTTAGAAAAGCTCATCAGAGTAGGATGGCTTAGTACTAAAATCTCATTAGCCTTCAAGAGGTACGAGTTGAGCTTCTTCCTGGAATTAGACCAAAGGCTGCCCCCAAACAGAATGGGTTAATCAGATTAGGAAGTTGGAGCAGTTGGATATGAAAATGGATGTGTTGTCCTTCACTGTCCTTCCAAATTGGCAAGAGGCTTCCCTTAGACATAATAGCCTGACGCACTAAGGCTCAGAAAGCCCAGCATATTTGTAAACACACAATAAGGGATCAAAAGGGGACTTCAACTTGTTGTTATTATTATTAGGCCTTTATAAAATTACATGTGGCTTTCATTTTGCTACTTGACAAAGAAGATCACCAGGACACTCAGTGGTATGTTTCAAGATTTACACATTATTAGCTCCTCTAGAATTGCATGCAGAGACTGGTAACACCCTCAATTACAACAGATATATTTTCAATTTACTCTGAGGTAAACAGTATATCAGCTTTACTTTTGAAAGATGAAAAGATCTTTTGTAAAAAGGCAGCAAAGCACAAAAGTTTTAAGTGTCCTGCTTAAGCTTTAAATCTTTAAGTGTTTTTATCAGTACAGGTACAGGGCAGCTACAAATAAAATCAGTGTCTCTTCTCATCTATGTTCTAAGACTGCAATTTCTTATAATTAGTATTTTATAAATTGTGAAGATACATTTTTAAAGCAATTTCATCCAGGTCCTCTTCTTGGAACATGTTTTCAACAATGTTTTTCCCTCTTGAACACCATGTTCCTTTGAAGCACACTTTTTTTTAGAAAGAGGTGTCTTTCTCCATTTTCAGGACTGTACTTGGGTGCTGTGATATCTCGTCACATCGGATCAGTCATATTCCATTGACTTGCATTTTATAATGTAAAATGAAAGTATACTTCCTTTTGGATTACAAAAGGAACATAATACAACACAGTTGCAATGCTATTGCCTGCAATGAGATAACATTTGCAATCCCAGGGATAACGTTACCTGCTACGGGCATGTAACCTCCTCCCATTTCTGCATTGATAATACAGGACTGTTATAGCCTTCCTAGTCTGTTTCATACAGAATTTGCAGTGACAGCTTCCTAGATTCCATGGGAACTTGTGGCAAAAGCTCATTTATAACCACTGACAATTTGGACAACTGCCTCAAAACCAGAAGGGGAGAAAGGTTATTCATAAGATTGCAGAAAGGACAAACAGGAGACCAGTGAGTTAACCTACTCAATTACTTCAATGTTTACACACTATTCCAAGAAGCGAAGGATAAACACAGCTAGAATATTAATGTAAGAAGGAATGGCATGTTTGGGAAGGTCAGGTTGGAAATGCAATTCAACAAGAATAGATGAAAAATCCTGTACTTTAGAGGAATGATCAAGTGAACAGATATGGTATGAGACTGTCTAAATTGGCAGCAGTACACAAAAGCAATGCAGAAAGCGATCTGGATGTTAGTGTGCATCTCACAATAAATACATTTCAACAGTATCATGATGGGGGTGGGGGGAATAACACAAAAGGAAGTCCTGAAGAAGAGGGCTCTCTGAAATACAAGAAGTCATTATTTCAATTTCTACAGCATAGCACTCAGATGTGGTGCAGTACCCAGTCTGGCGTTTCAAAGATGGGTACCAATTACAAAAGTTTCAGAGCAAAGTGACGAACAGGATTTAAGAGTACAAAATTCAAAGGAAAAGGGATTATTTAGTTTAGCAGGGAGGAAAGCAAGGACAAATATGGCAGACATCTACAAATATAGGACAGCTGAAAAGGAGAACATCCTCATATCCATTAGAAATAGGTAACAGAGTAACAGATTAGGCAATATAAAGGCTGATTTAGGTTAGACAAGACTATTTAAGCTCTGGAACAAAATGCTTGGAGAATTTGTGAAATCACTATCCATAGGAACTGCACAGGTATAGCAGACTGCCTTCAGGCAGGGAGAATGGACCAGCTGACGGACTGCTCAGAGACCTTTCTTGCCCTGTTTCTGTGATTTCTATGATTCTGCTCTGCTTCTAGCTCCCTCAAGGATGGAAATGAAATATGACATAGCTCTGTCCTTACACGTAATGGCAAGCAAAAACTACAAGAAATACATGTGTAAGGGCAAAAGATAGAAAGTAACACAAAGAAATAGTAACTGATACAATCAGTCTCTCCAAACATTGCAATATACATCCACTTGCCTCCCTCCATCAATACCTGTAGCATTTATAAATTATCTGATAATTTAACATGTCTCAGTCTCTTGACTGAGTATCAGTGCTACCCTGTACATTCCTTGAGCAGACAACATACTAAGGAAGACAGATCAGCCTTTTTAATTGAATTTAAAATGTGCTTTAAGTTAATGAAATTCATGAAAAAGAAATGTTTTGATTAATTTATTTTTCCTATCTATAACAAAATAAACCTACAAACGTTATTGTTATGCCTAGAGCATTTGCCATATAACTTTTTGTCTTAACACATTTTAGAGTCATTTAAGTATATTCATTCTTAATAAAATTTCCAATTGTATCACTTAAAAATTATTTAGCATTAAAATTGAGTTACTCTTTTTAACATCTTGCAAGCACTAATTGATCCTCATAACGGTCACATAAGGTAAGAAGGTACTATTATCCTAGTTTTATCCAGAGGGAAAATTGAGGTAAGGAAGTTTAATCACTTGTCCAGTGTCATATCTTGTGTCACTCAGGCCTGAAGTCAGACCATGATTCTGTATCTCATGCATACCATTTAATTTTAAAAGTCTTTGTAGGATTTAGGCATCTGTCTCATAGAAACTGTCTTACCATTTCTTTGGGAGATTATGTTATATCAGAAAGTGCTAGATCTGTGCTCCTTGGAAACCTATGTATGACTATATATTTGCCTTTAAAACATTTCAAAACACAGAGAAAGAAAAAAAAACATCAGTATATACTTAATATATAACCACACCCAAAACAATTATCTAACAAGCTGTCAGGCACAGATGTGCAGTGACAAAAGAAAAATTGAAGTTGTCTTGAACATCTTGACAGTGCAGTATCTTTGCTCAACCAGTCCTATGATAGAGAACATTAAAAGTACACCAGAGAAATATAACATTGTGTTGGCACAGCTGACTGAAGGGCTTTCTGTCTCTTGTTTGTCTATTCCAATTGCCTTACTTCCCGTGCATCTGTCATGGTTAAAAAAAATATAAGACATACCTTAATTGTACTAGTGTGTGCACCAGGGTATTCTTTTTCCTCCAGGGTTGACCAACGTTGTATAAATTTCGACACCAGAGGATCATCATAGTCAACTATCTGAAATCCTGAGACGTTAGCTCCTCCAAACTGAATTTTTGACAAATCTCCATCAGTAAATCCCTGGGAACAGAAAACATTGTGTCTGTCATTCCAATGGTTTTGGCAGAGCTCTCAATAGCATATACAAATACTTACCGTATGACTTCTACTGCAGAAAAGTAAGCCAACATTTTCCTCAAACAGGATCCAAGTTTAAATCCTGGGCTGACAGGATTATAGCTCTGCCAGCCAGCGCCTCTTGTTGCTCACTGGACATACACCTTTATAGAGCAAGGACTGAGAAGATCTGTCCTTGCCATGCTTACTATCATGAGCAATCCTGTTAATTTCAATGGGGCTGCTTAAATGAGAAGAGGAACACTGACATGAATAACAGTTAGGCAAGCACGTTTTAGCCAGGAATAGTTAGCCACAGCTGTGTCCTCTTTTTGCTAGGAATGCTAAGGCACATGGAAGGACCTACCATCTCTGCTGCCTCCTCCCTCCAGTACATATAAATAACTACTTCTCATTCTTACAAACAGTATATATGTTTTGTTTTCCATGTTCTGTGTTTTAACTTGCCCCAAATAACCATACAAATGTATTTACATGAAACACTGATTTCAGACACGTCAGTTGAAATCAATGCTCTGAGTGAACATAAAAAGAAGTAGCAACTTCAGGCCACGTTATCAGAAGTTGCTACAATTGCTATACTAGGTGCTCTTTAATTATTGTGTATTAATGATACTCATCAATGAGTATCCAATTCTACATGGATCATGAAACTTTCTTCAATATTATTGTGAGCTTGATATTTGAACAGGAACATGCATTGTATACTTTGACCTCTTCTCCATCTATCAGCATGTTTTATTCTTAAAATAGATCAACTTCTCCACTGACTGATCAGACCAGAGAACATTATTGCAGTCAGGAAAAGAAGAAAGAAGGTGGATTCAGTGAAGAAGATGGGACACAATCAAGTACTAGATAAGTTTTCTTTCTGACAGAGAAAACCACAGTTTGAAAATCATTACCACATATATTTTATATGTTATTATACAAAAGATCTACAATATTTGCATTTAAGCTATATAAATCTGTAGGAAGCAAATATGATATTAAATAGCTTTGAAATACAAGATTCAGTAAGTTTTAGATCTTATGGCTTACTGTTACAAACTTAAAGCAATGGCTAAAATAGCAACCCATTAACATAATGAAATACACTATGCAATTTTTCTAAAATGTTTATTTCCCTTAAGACTCAAAATACTATTTACACAACATTTGCAATGCAAAATACAAATGTCTAAGAGTTAGGGTATTTTTCAAATTTTGTAAGACTTTTATGCTTCCTTTGTGACTATCAGTACCTTAATTTCTTTATCCTAAAAATGAGTTAATAAATTAAAAAATGAAATCCCACTGTTCTGCTTTTAAAGAGGCCTTTAGAGTATAAAGCTCTTTTGCACCTGTCCAGTGACATACATGATTCTTCAGAATACTGCCTGCCTGGAGGGGTGAAGTGTTTTGATTAAAGGTTGAGCGGAGACAGGGGTTATGTCTGAAGTGTGATAGACACACTATGGTCATCCTGTTTCCTCAGGCCACTTAAAAGTACTACGGGAGACAGAGTGTAAATTAGAGCACTCCAGGCCCTGCTGGAATTTATATCAAATGCTATCACCGTCCAAGAATAAATGATGAAAAAAAATTATTTAGAGGCACTCACACCATGCAACCCCCAAAACTCTTTCCTGGAACAGAATAATTGAGATTCAAGCCTACAGAATTTGCTTTGTCTGTCATGAAAAAACATTGGATTAGATTCCTCAGCTTCAGTAAATTAGCAATGTTGACTTTAATGTCAGTAAAATGGCCCTTCACCTTTAGACACAATTTCAAAAAGATTACCTTGACAGAATTTAGTGAGTTTCCTGAACTTTTCCCCTTCGGAACACTATTAGCTATTCTGTCTGATCACCTATGTTCAGGAAAAGACTGATTCAAACTGATTACCAAGCCAATCAGAGGAATGAAGATTTGTAAAGATGAGACTCACTAGTCTACCAGAATGAAAGCTGAGAACTGTACTTTTTAAGTACTTTAGAGGTGAGAGAAGAAACATCAGTTCACTGAATGTATCAGCCTATAATGCAGAAAGTTATTTTTCTGATTTCCGTACCCTAACTTTTCTGAAGTATGTAGAAAAAAGAATGAAGTTCTACTGAAGGTGCTGAGCAACCTTCACTCCCATTCATGGCATTATCACAGGAGGCATTTAAGCCCTGAAAAGACTCAGACAATAAAACACCACCTCAACACATGCATTCATTTAGCAAGGATAAAGACATGTAGCTTTTTTCCATTTTCTAAAATACATTTGAAATAAAATACTAGTTGATGTGCTTCCATAAACAGTAAAATGAGTAATATAGGTATTTCAAATATTAAAAATGCTTACCAGATTTGCAATGATATAATGGTATCCTTTAACATGTTTACCAATTGTGATAACCTGCAAAAAAAGAAGAAATACCCCCATAATGGAGAATGTTCACCTGATATATGGACTGAGACTTAAAAATTACAAAATGTAGTACGTTGTAAAAGCTAGTTATGAGCTTTATGGTGTGCAATACTGAGTTTGTACAGTGCTTTACTTTTTATTTTACCTAATGCACCATTGAACATACTCTCTGCTGGTGGACATTAGTCATGTTGAAGTCCCAGTTCCAAGATCTGTCAGAGGAGCTGAATGCTAATTACTATGCTGTGTATTAAAGGCACAACCTGGACAGGAGAGAACAGACATCATGCAGTAGAAGCACTGTGCCTCAGAGATTCCTGCTTAGATTCTGCTCTCTTTGTAGCAGAACTGTAATGTTCCTTGAACTAGAAAAAGTTTAAAAGCCCACTGACATTAATGAAAGCACCTACATTATGAGGAAGTCTTTTAAAGTTCAAATTGCTGTTTATTGCCCTAAGGCTTCCTCATAATCTCCCTCAAAGCCAGATGGTGGTTTCTCAGCTGTCTCCACCGGCAGGCATGTAGCATGGATTCCTCCCCCAAATAAGCCTAATTAAGACTATGTCTGCATGGAGAAGTTTGCATTTTGAAGCAAAACACTTCTCCAGAGAAATGATGTGGGAGATAAGAGTACTCTAGAGGTTTCTTCCATCTTCTGAACAATGAGAACTTCAATTAAGAGACAATGATTCATTTATTTCCTCATTTAACATATAACTAAAATATTCAGAATAGGTATCCAGTAACTTACATCAGGCTAGTAGTGAATGACATTCCACATACTTGCTTTAATGAAGTTACAGAAATATAACTGAAGGCAGTGTTTAACACTAAGTTTTATCTTACTAGAGTTTGAGACTGAGAGGTATCACATTACATAAGCCATAGAAGTTATTCAATTATTCCTCTTTTGGGCTCAATATATACAGGATATATGAACTTAATTATTCTAAAAGCTACTTGGTTCAAATTACTTAAAACTCATTACTTATTCAAAGGTTGAAGAACTATGTTCCAATGTATTTCTTACGCAGTTGCTGCTTCCAAAGAAGTTTCAGTTAGACCAAACCTATCAGCTCTTCTGCATAAAATGCTTCTTTGTCACTGCTGTTTGAGAAAACAACCAGTAGCTGCAAGTCTTTGGATCAATGGTTAGTAACTCTGCTCTAACTGCCACTGGGTACTATTTCATGAATCTGGCTTTCTAAAACATTGCCCTGTGCCATTCATCCATATCAACACCAAGGATGCTGCCAGTTAAAACTCTGACAAGAATCAGTGCTGGCTCCAAAAGCCATGATGAAGGAGCTGTGGACACAAAAGGTATTCACCAATGTCCCTAGTTTAGACTAGCATCTCAAGCAGGGATAGACAAGAAGTGGCAGTAATTGCACGGCTGCCCAAAGGGTGTTAGCAGTGGGAAATGAGATTCTGCAAAGGAAGATGGGCTGAGAAGAGGTGCAGGCTATATATTTAAGAGCATGGTAACACTGACCTACCAATCAAAGAGGAATATAAACTAGTCTGAGGACAGCTGGGGAACTGAAATATTTGTTAACTTCAACTTACATAAATCATTGAAATCTGGAAGAGAAACTACAACACAAGACAAAAAACAAGAATGATGAAGCAACTTTGCAAGAGCATTGTGTGTCTATAGAAAGATCCAAGGACTACAGAGTGTAATCGGGTCAATCTGAGGTTGCCACCACACATTAAAATGTTAGTGGGATAAATCAAAGCACTGCAGTAGAAGACACATTCAAGAATAGAAAGCAAGGAAGAAGGTAAAGAAGTTGCTCCTCTATACATCAAGAATGCAGATAATACTTCAGTATTCAAGAAAAATCTGGTTAACAGAAAGCCTGTTGCATGTCTCTCAGTAAAAATACACAGTAAAAGGGATACTGATAGAAACAGTCTAATTCAGGCATTCTCATGAAAAGAAGGAAAATGCTGAGGGGTTTTTTTGGGGGCAGGAATTAAAAGAATATTTTTAAACAGTAAGTCTGATAGCAAAACAAGACTTGGAAGTAAATATTCTGCTTTCAGAAAAGAAAACCAGAAGAACACACTCAAAGGATACTCACAGGCCAAGAAATCCATTGTTCAGCACAGACCTTCATTTTAAGAGATGAGGAAAATTTATACAGAAACAGTTATTTTATATTTTCTTTTTAGGCTGCTTCAGAAATTGAAAGTGGGTTTACCTTTTTATGTAAGGAAGGGAGGTTACAGAAACAATGTGTAAGGTTAATGGACTTAAAAAACAGACCAAACTCCAGAAACTGCTAAGGTATCTTGCAAAGAGAATTTCAAGGCTAAACCCATATGAGACAGCTGACAGCAGTTTGAGAGACAATATTCTAGGGCATAGCAGTAAACTATTTTGATGGGAACAACTAATTGGAATTATACTAACTGACCTGATAATATCCCAGAGCTGCAATCAAAATAAAGAAGCAACAAAAGAAAAAGATGACAGTAAAAATGAGTGGTAACTAAAGGGTAAAGAGGGTTCTTGTCTTTAAAAAGTGGTAAAAGGGAAAACTGAAGAAACTTACAGTCAGCCAAACTTTCATATCAGGGAAGAGATTATAATGAATATCACATACTTAATTTTAAAAGAATCTATAGGGGAATAAGAAGATAAACAATCAATATAGTCTTGTCAAGATCAAAATATGTCAAAGGAATTTCTTTCCTTTGTCTGACATGTTAGCTAGTCTAATAGATAATGAGGAAAGAGCAGACGTGACACAACCTTGAGTCTAGTAAGGCTTTTGTCCTGTATGATATCATTACAAGCTCTTAAGGGAACATGGACAAGACAAAAAGTCAATTTGAAAAGCCACACAGAACCAGAAGAGGATCTCTAAGTACTATTTCTCTCAGTCATTGCTCTACTCAGTACCTTTCTTGACATGCATAACAAGTCAGAAAATATGATTTAAAAAAACTGCAGATGATAGGGAGGTTGCAAATACTCTAGAGAACAGGATCAAATTCAAATTGATCTTGAAAATTAGAGAAACAGTTTGTGGATATAAATTACAAATAAAACAAACAAATACAATGCACTCCCATTTAGGACACTGCTCATTACGTTTTGGAGAGGCTCAGGCAATGACCTACATAAGAGAAGTCCAAAATAACAAGTCTTTCAAAAAAGCTTCAAAACAAAACATCTACACTCTGATGACATATCCCTACAGATACTGCACAGTCTTACATGATGAAGCTCAAGGCAGCAGGGAGCTATCCTTATAATTTTCCATTGTGCTCTGCATGCATGAAAAGAAGTAGTAAGACACAGAGAAAGCAAGATCTTCCTGGACACTAGGATTGAAGAGGTGGATTTGAAGGTAATGCAGTGATTTGAATCAGAGCACTGTGATGCTGTTATGAAAAAGAAAAAAAAAATCATTTTGGCAAATAATATATGTGTGGGTGGAGAGAAGACATAATTTTCTGTTCTGTTTAAAGCTCAGGAGGCCTTAGCTATGGAAAACAGCATCTGATTTCGGTTAACACACTGTAAAATGGAGACAAAATTAAGAAGACGGTACGAATCAGAGAGAGCTTAGAAACATGAACTATGAAGGCAGTTAAATGGAAAGAGAAGCTGTTTGATACAACCTTCCGCAAAAGATGTAAAAGGTTCTTGGAAAAAAATCATTAGAAGTAGAAAATACTTTCTAGGTGTAAGGAGAAGTAATTCTTAGACATAATACATTTATAATGTACCATATATAACAGTGCATCGACTACATATAATCTAGTATACTACTTAGGTTGTGAAACAGCCTTAACAACTTCTCTTTTTTTTTTTTTTCCCAATAATCAGGATATAAAACCATAGGGGATAATCCAGATAGAATTAGGTTGCCTTCGAGAAAAGGGAGGGATTATAGGATTTGTACGTTCACTTTCTGTCTGCCTGATAGATATGTGGTCCTCAATACAAACCTGTCACTTCCAAATGATGCACAATAATCGCAAAAATAGGATCAAGAGAAATGAACCCATTACATTTACTTACAGAATGTAGCTAACTGCTGTCACTGAAGAACAGAGAATAGCAAACCTGATCAACAATGTCGTTGACTTTATCGCGCTCACAGTCCAAAATGACTCTCCTTTCCTTTTTTACTTCTAGATCTTGAAACAGTGAACGGTAAGTTTCATCTTTTCTGTCATTGTTAATATTTCCTACATTGATAGCAGTCACTTGCCATTTCTTTTCAGCAGCAGAATCTAGCACAGCTTGCAATGTTGATAAGCCTAGTGAAGCACAGGAGAAAACAGAAGATATGACTGATAAAGCTTCAGGAATAACAAGCTTCTAGAATGTGATTTGTAAGATTACTTATTTAAAATTTCCCTACAACTTGTTTGAACTGTCACACTTTGTTAGGACTCAGAAATGAAGATATGTGTGGGCCCAATTTTTGTGTTCTTATTGCATGAAATTTCTATTTACATTGCTGCAAGAAATCAGGGTAGAGCCTTGTAAGGACAACCTATCAGTTTTGCTTTCAACCTTCTTCAGAATGGGATTTTGCCAGTTTCACTGATCCACTGCTGGAATTCCACATGCTGGGAAAGAGGTCTTCTAGGAGAAAAGCAATCCAATTATGGCAAGAGGATCAGCTGCTTATTCCAAATGCTATTGAACTGCTTTTGTTCTCAGCACTTGAGCAGTCCTGTATTTAAACCCAGACTTCACTGAGGTCTATGGAAAAATTCCCATGCTCTGCAGTGGTGCTAATGGAGTCATATCCCTGAGTATGAAAGAAGATGTGCCGAGATATATTTTTTTCTATTGAGATAAGTAGGCTCAATGCTAACACCTACAAGCACTCTACAAAAGTTTACTTCCATTTTATCCTTTTGGCATGTTCCTGCCAGGAAGCTGTAACATCTGTACAACTGCAACCGCCTACAATATATTGTAAAATCAGCAAGCATTTTACTTCACTGGTTTTCCTTCTCAAAAAAGATTAAATAATGGAGTATAGAAACATGAAAATTACTGCTAAAATTAATTTCTGCTACACAACAAATACCATTTTAACAATTTCCAGCAGTACAGGAATTAGACTTGTTATGCTTAAATTCCTTCTAGAGAATTCTACATAATTCTAGACAATTATTTTAAGGATAACAGATAGTATTATAGAAAAAAAGAAAATTAGACTTTCTCACAAGCCAATTGACATTTTTGCACATTCATCTCCCCTGAAACCACAGAACACCAGGAGTCATTTATTAGAAACAAATTTCTGGCTTGGTATGTAAACAAAGCTTCAGGTATAACACTCATGAGAAATAACAGTGGTTATGCCCATAAATATGGAAAGAAAGCACTAAGAATTAATTTGTCTCATAGTTTGTAAATACATCATTAAATTAAGATTGGTCAGTGTTTAGCAATTCAGCTTTGTCAGCAAAAATGGTTATGAGACACAGTGCTATACAAGACTGGTCATCGGCAAGAGTAGAAAATGGCTTCCAAAAGCATAAATTTAACGATTATCTCAAATAGTTCTGGTTTTCTACGTCATCTTTAAAGAAGACTAATATGAAGTTTTGTATGTCATGCAATTATTTTTTATTTTAAAATAATAAATAACTACAGTCCAAGGGTACATATAAACTATTTATAACTTGTTAAAGATAAATGTGGAGAACTCATGCTAAAATGAAAAGATAATTAATATAAGCAAACGAAAAGATGTAGGGAATACCTAAAAACATTAAAAAGCACTAAAATAAGTCTATACCTCAAAATAATGTTTAAAATGGTAACTTAAAATAATAATTAAAAAAACCAACACACACACACAAAAAAACCCAAACTGAAACAAATATAATCTGAATCATTGTTTCAGATCTCATTTAGTAGATTTTAAGTCCTCCAATCTGTCTATATGTTTCCTCTGAGTTAAACAGAATCTCAGTTAGGCATAAATTAATAATGGCTATTAACATTAATATTATCCATTGAAAAGGGTTTCTGTATTTTACTCCTCTGATCTTCCCTTTTTCCTACGGACTACCTTTTCTTGGGATGCTCTCTGCAGAGATGTCAAATGGCTGCCTGGATTTCTTGCTTTTTATAGGTGGCAGATTTGTCATCCTCATACAGTTTAGATAGCAATAACACATTGCAAAAGAACAAAAAACAGATAAACAAAAGCATTCACAGCAATAGTTCTGTGGACATGGAAGTATCCAGAGAGTGGTTATGGAAGTGGGACTGTACAAGGGAGAAAACTTCAACAACTTCAGTCACATTTTTTAAATTGCAGGAATACTTTTGTTTGGGACCTTTGTATGCCTGAGCCTCTTTCGGTTACCATGAGGCAAACTCTTAATTCAGTGAGCTCTAAAATGGAGGACTGAACAGAGGCTGAGTAAATTAGCAATTCTGTTACAGACAGAATCCTCCAATTGCCCTGCACTTCAATCAGTCAGCCCCTAACCATGGAGGAGCTGTAAAAGTAGCAATAAATGATTCTTTTTGAATAAGTCATCAAAATAATTCCTATTAGCTTTCACAGCTTCCATGACATAAGTCTCTTTGCCTTTTTTATCTTACTCCTGAAGGTAGAAACATTTTTAATTGTATATCATTCCTTACATCTATGTCACTGTCACTACATTAACACTTACACAAAAGTGTTTAGAGGAATTGCGGACCCTACGTATTCAGGGTTTGATGTCAGTGTTGCTGACTACATACTGTTTGACTCTGCAGGTTAACCTTGTGTAATCAGTGGGAGCACTGAGGAGCAAAGATTTACCCAACATAAAGGTAGGAGCTTCATGCCTTGAAGCTTGTTATCACTGGGGTGCCTTGCCACAATTAAAACAAACAAATAAGAAAAAAAGGCATAACCAAAGGGTGACTACAAGTAACAATTTCATGCTGCTATTCCTGGCCAGATTCATCCAGTACAGCTCGCAAGAAGAACTGAGTGTTTTTCAGTATTTCCTAAATATAAATCACACACAGGTCACATACTGCACACTGCTAATGATTGACAGAGTATTGGCTAAGCAAGTAGTTTTACATCTGTCCTTTCTAAAAAGGCAGGGAGTGTTTCTGATTCTAATGTGAATTTGAAAAGGATCTGCCAGAGAAACGGGCTTAGGGTTCATCATCCCACATGACATTACTGTTAGAGGCTACATACCAGTATTCTTTTTCTAACCTTAGTGCTTACAACAGCGATAAAAAACAGTCTTGAGGAGGTCCCTTCAGTTTCTGAACAACAGAATGTATAAAAGGGCATCAGAATCCAGAGAATCTAATGTCACCTCATTACTCAACAAACCATGGTATGGTATAACCACCCTTTAAATCTAATGGCATCTTACCATTTAATGTGCACTTAATATTCAACTCTGACAAATGAACGTGCAGGTGAGACACAAAATAGTCTTTTTAAAGGGAAGAGGAGAAGGTAAGAATAGAAAAAAGCTAGCGAAGGACTACTAGGTGAGGAGAACCTGGAATCAGAAGGACAATAATGGCATTCCAGAAAGGGGAGTCAAAAAACCCCCGCTTCTGTATAATGCTGCTTCTTCTCAGAAACTAACCGATATACCACAATTTGCAAGTGATTTTTCCCAGTTTCTAAACTGCTATATTATTATTACTACAGCCGTAAAAGGGCATAGGACTTGAAAAGGCTGTACCATGAATTAAATTGCTCACAAGCAGTGGATTTGGGTTTATCAACAACAGCAAAAGAAAAAAAAAAATTAAGCTCAACAGAAGAGAGGAACTAGAGTATTTATCAAAAGCAGTCTCCAAAGAAGCCGGGAGTGCATCAAAGATTCTTGCTTGCTTGGTGCCCAACTATCGATTTTGCATGTATGGAGTGAATCTGTGGTAGCAGATTGCCCTTCACGCTCAGATGTTTAGGTTTTTTTCTCCTTAGATGATTCTTTAAACAAAAAACCCCCAACCTTTTCATAGGAGCTGTTTTACAACATGTGATTAATATCACATTGCTTATCAGCTTGTGCTTGCAGTTCTGTTAATACACACTGTAATAATTTCATTCTCATTTAAACAATCTTGGTTTTGTCCCAAAAGCTCAATTCTAAATTTAAGCTTGCACTTAGCACTTGCTGCAGGTAAGTATTCCTTTCCTTGTTTACTTTTCTAACACTAATTCAGCATTTCAGTGAGATACATCTAGCAAACAGCATACACATATAAAAAGTACCATATCTTACCTCTGTCACTGTCATACAAATATGCAAACTTGGTCCACTGATAGTATTCAATCAAGCTAAGAAGAGCTCCCTTGAGGTCAGGTCTCATCTGAATGACAAAGGGATGTGTTCCATCTGTTGGGAAGCTGGGAGTTATAAAGGAGACATGAAGAGTCCCACAGAACGATGTTATGGTATTTACAGACTTCTTATCATAGAATCCAAAAATAGCAAAGACTCCTCTTGAAAACTGGGAGCAGACTGGGAGAGAGAAAGAAAAACAATTAGGTGGGAGAACTTTTTAAAAAAAATTATTGAAAATTCTGTCATGTATATATTTATGAGAAATAGTGAAAATGTCTGATCACATAAATACCAGGAGATAACAGTGATACTCTGCTATGAAGACTATTATTTGTTAGTATTATAAATCAATAACATAAAGCTTCCACTAGAAACAACAACAACAAAAAAAAAATCAGAGAGATGGTTCATATTCCTAGACAATTAATTTAGAAATACAAGTCACCAAGTTATTCTTAAAATTCAATTTATCCTGTAAAGAATAGTGATGCAAACACCAATGGCAGCTGTAACTTATAAAATGAGCCATTATGACCACACATAATATTATGAAAACTGATAATTTTTTGTCATATTAAAATAAATTGTCTCTGAGGTCAAGATTCACTGAGCTTTTTGCAAAATGTCTTAAATAATTTTCCTTTTGGAGAAATACAAAGCCAAAACTAGATGCAAATCTATTAATAGCAGAAAAGCAAGCAGTTGATTTGCTTTAAAACCCTTCCATTTTAAGGCGTTCTTTTAGTTCCTCTTTTGTAGGACTCAGCAAAAGCTGGTCCTTCTGAATGACACTCGCAGTCATGCTGCAGAAAGAATAACCTCATAGGAGTAAATAACATGCTGATTATTCACTTTTTATCACTGGATACAATTCAAGCCAACTGATGAATGCTATTGACCACCACAGCCTGTGCTAAAGAACTAGTTTTTCTGAGTTATTCACTTTGACACTGCAGGCTATACTGATACCTAAGTTCTAAAACCAGGGTACAGTACAATAAGGAAATGTTAATCTCTGATTAATTCTCATTTATCACCTATGCATTCTTTGGTTTGCACATAGTCACCTTGAACAAGAGACATCCTTCTAGAGAAAACATCCAGTCAGTCTCATTGCAATCCCTGCTACACCTTCCTGCTTACAGATAGAAATCACAGTGTAATTGAAGCTAATTTTGCCCAGCTATTTAGTGCACTAATCCTTGAATATAATTCATATATTGGCAAAAATAAGCTAACTTATTTTTTAAATTCCTCAAACTTTAATTAATAGCAATACAATATTTTCTCTTTTAAAGTTATCGCACCCTTAATTTTTTTAAAAATAAATCATCTCTTTATGCCTGTTATTATTCATTGCTATTCTCTTTCATGGCTTTGCCTATCTATCTCTGCTACCACAGTCAGCTCTCATACCCTAATTATTTCTACACTCCAATTAAAAGCACCTAAACAGTATGGATTTCAACAGTTATCACCTATTAACTTTAATTAGGTCAGAATTTCACCTCAGGTGAGAGAATACAAGTGATTAAAAAACTTGATGAGTAATACCTTTACAAAAAGGATGCAGGTTTTCCAGGGCTAGGGTACAAGATGGTTAGACCTCTTCCTTTCCAACTACTAAACTTTACAAAAAAGTTCCAATATTTATCTCAAGTGTATTAAGGGTATTAACACTGCTCATGTTGAACAAAGGTTTCTGAAAAAGGCTGTGAATTTTCTGAATACCTCTTCTGTTTAAGTTACTGGAACTCGTTCTATTTCGAATCACTATGCTCACTACCTCCCCACACACTCATGAACAATTGTTTCCCATCTGCAGCAAAAGCTAAAGACTTTCTGAACTTGCTACAATAGAGGTGTTAATGTCTCATAATACACCTTCAAGAATGCATATTAAAATAAAGCACCAGTTTATTTTTGGATCCCTGGGCGAAAATTCCACAGAAGACTGTTATTGGAACACTACTGTGATCTTCTGTATTAAACCACTTTATTGCTGCATGTAAGGTGACAGAGACAACAGCAGTGTCTTCCCAGGATCACTGAAAAAAAAAAAATCTTTTACGCCACTATTGCTGACTCCTATGACGCTATCCTGTCATAAGTGTGATCTCCTGTCACACTTATTGCTTTTCTTCAATCACCAGTCAATGATTTTAGGTATAGATGAAAAAACATTGCCTAGAACAGCCAACAACCAGGGCCAGCTGCCTGCACCAGAAAATTTGAAAACCATAGCTGGTGCCTTCTCAGAAGTATCACTGCCACCTCTAACAGAGAAAAGCCGGAGTCTTGGGAGCATTGTACTCCAGTTTCTGTCTCGGTTCCTCCCCAGTCATTCCCGCCCCCTTCCTGACACTGGAGAGATCTGGACCTGTCAGACCTCAACTAAACATCTTTGGTGTAATGAAGTTCAATCTGCCTGTGCTGTTGGGAAGTTTTAGTTAAGGTTCTGTCCTGGCTCCTGAACTCATGTAACTAAATAGATCTCAACTTCCATTTAAAAAAAAAAAAACAAAACACTACATTTGGTAAAAGGAGAAAAAAAACCCCAAACACCCCAAAATCATCACAATTATTTATGATGGCAAATAAAAAGAGCCCGGATTACTTATGCAAGTAAGTAATGCAAATATGAACTGGGATTATTTAAAGGTGGGCATATACTGGGTCTGGCTGGGATGACATTCACTTTCCCCATAGCAGCCCATATGGTGCTGTATTTTGGATTTGTGGCCAAAACAGCATTGTTAACACACCAATGTTTTAGCTATTGCCGAGTGATGCTTGCACAGCATCAAGTCTTTCTCTTTTTCCCCTCTGCCCATCCCAGCAAGTAGGCTGGGGGTGGCCAGGAAGCTGGGAGGGGACACAGACAGGCCAGTTGGCCCAAAATGGTCAAAGGGATATTCCATGCCATATAACATCATGATCAGCCATAAAACTGTGGGAGAGGATGAAAAGGGTGGGGGGCTCTGACTTACAATGTGGTTGTTGCTTGGAGACTGGCAATCTTCTTGTGGGAAGGAGTGGGTGACTGCCTTTGCGTCACTTGTTTTTAATCTTTCCTTCACTAATTAAACTGTCTTTTATCTTGACCCACAATTTTTCTCACTTTTGCTCTGCCTATTCTCTTCTCTGTCCACAGGGGACAGGGAGAGCAAGTAAGTGGCTGTGTGGGTGCTTGGCTGCTGGCTGGGGTCAACCCATGACAGGGTAAAAAGTGTCATTCCACCTTCCACCCACAGAACAGACCTGTTAATAACCTTGGCCTATGCTTGAACAGGTGAAGGAGTTCTGTACCCCTGCAGTGATACAAACATGCATCCAGTCCACTCCCTTCAGAAGACAACTGCTGTTCTTTCAAACATCCTCCCTGACATGGCACAACTTCATACCACCTCTCTTCACTAGTTACTTGCTGCCTACACAGTTCTCTTGGATTACCACAGTGAACAGCTCTCCATTTAGTAGTCTTTACACCTAGTAAATCATCAGTCCTTACATGTATCTGTCTTCTGGGGAACACGGGTGAAACTGGAATTTTGATCTCCTCTCCTGCAAAAAGTGACAGACAACTAGAAAGCACCACCTCCAGCAGGGTAAGTCAAGTCACTGCAGTTCTAGATACATATAGGAGCTGCAACTTAAAAGCTGCACGTACACAATTTTGACAAATAATATGATAAAAGCAAAAAATATTTATATTTTTAAAATTATTATGAAACCTGCCACACAGATATAAACTCTCATTCAATTCAACCAGGGCCCCTTGGATGTGAGATAAAAACTCTTTCTAAAACAAACCTTGAAAGTAAAGGACATAACACACATTAGCAAATACTAAGCTATGTGGGTCAGACAGAAAATCAGTATCCAGGTAAAAATAAATTTTCATCAGCACTGATCAGTGTCACAGTTGTACACTGAAGAACCTCAGTGCTGGGCTTTTGTGTGTGAAATTCCTCTAAAGATAAGTGGGAGGGCACCTATGCCATGTAATAAAAACTTGCTAAAAATAAGCATTTAGACTATTGTCTCGAGGCAAATGCTTGCAACTCTTCTGGGGCATTTGGTCTCTCAGGAGCAGGAGGGAAAAGAAGGGATGCTACTTTCAAATATATAATGGTGATCCAGTGGATAATGCAGAAAGTGTAATTGTTTTTGGCAGGATTCCCACCTTAAACTAAGTCTACAGTCATGTTGTTATTGCTGGGAGACATTAGTTTCATAATGGCCAATCACAAGCTGCTCACAGTTATTAGATTAAAAAAATCATGATGATTAGGGCTCATAAGCCATTGAAACTTGAAAGATCTATTTTATTAAAGACATTAGAAGCAACTGCCAGGATTCATTTCTTTCCAGGTCTTCTATATGAATTGTTTTTCTTCGGGTTTATGTTTCCTTTCTAGAAACAGTCAATGGCCTACTTAGCAACAAGAGGGCAAGAATATAGCCAGCTCATTTTGTAATCACTTTTCTAGAGAGACTTGCTTAGAATGGCAAGTAACTGGGAATTCCAAGAAACAGGCTAAATAACTAAAGGTACCTGAGAAACAACAATTTCCAGAAGATTTTGTTATAGTCAAGAATTACGTATTTTATATTTGACTTCTCCTTGTTCTTCTACTAACATAGCCAGGCAAAAACCCAGTTTGCCCTTGTTTTCCAGAATACCAAAAATGTGTCCTAGTCTTTTCTTCCAAAAGACAGATTTGTTCAAGAACAAAATTAAGCTTAAGCCTGCTATGAGAAATAGGTGCCTTGTCAAAGCAGAGACAAAAATACTTGCTCAATTATTAACTGTTCCATTGTTACCTACATCTGTTTCTTCTTAGACCTCCTTTTACCATAGCATCACAGAACTGTTTAGGTTGGAAAAGACCTTTAAGATCACCAAGTCCAACCATTAACCTAACACTGCCAAGTCCACCACTAAACCATGTCCTTAAGCACCACATCTACAACATGTCTTTTAAATACCTCCAGGGATGGCAACTCAAACACTTTCCTGGGCAGGCTGTTCCAATGCCTGACAGCCCTTTCAGTCAAGAAATTTATCCTAACATTCAATCTAAACCTTCCTGGTGCAACTTGAGGCCATTTACTCCTATCGCTTGCTGCTTGGGAGAAGAGACAGACACCCACCTTGCTACAACCTCCTTTCAGGTAGTTGTAGAGAGCCATAAGGACTCTCCTCAACATCCTTGTCTCCAGGCTAAATAATCCCAGTTCCCTCAGCTGCTCCTTATGAGGAGCGTGCTCTAGACTCTTCACCAGTTTCATTGCCCTTCTTTGGCTACATCCCAGCACCTCAATTGTCCTTCTTGTAGTCCATGATGCACTCATACTTTTCTCTCTTTCACACTGTTGTGGTTTAGCCCAAACTGGCAACTAAGCACCACACAGCCACTCACTCACTCCCCCACGGTGGGATGGGGGAGAGAATTGGAAGAGTAAAGTGAGGAAACTCATGGGTTGAGATAAAGACAGTTTAATAGGGAAAGCAAAAGCCACGCACTCAAGCAAAGCAAAACAAGGAATTAATTCACCACTCCCCACGGGCAGGCAGGGGTTCAGCCATCTCCAGGGAAGCAGGGCTGCATCACACGTAATGGTTTCTTGGGAATACAGACGCCATAACTCCGAACATCCCTCCACCCCTTCCTTCTTCTTCGTCCCAGCTTTATATACTGAGCATGATGCCATATGGTATGGAATATCTCCTTGGCCAGCCTGGGTCAGCTGTCCTGGCCGTGTCCCCTCCCAGTTTCTTGTGCACCCCCAGCCTGCTCGCTGGCAGGCCAGCATGAAAAGCTGGGCTGTCCTTGACTGCTTAGCAACAACCCAAAACATCAGCACCTTATCAACGTCTTCTCATCCCAAATCCAAAACGTAGCCTCACACTAGCTTCTATGAAGAAAATGAACTACCCTGGCTGAAACCAGGACACACACATTCTCCATTTCACTATCCTGTTTTGACAATGAACTCTATAGGCAGATAAGATGATATTTAGCACTGTGGCCATAACTGGTTCTCCAAAAACAAAGGAATATAGCAACATACATTCTTTGCCTCTCATCATATAGAACATATTTCTGTGATGCATATCATCTTATACCTAAGACTCAAAAAGTGCCAGATGAAGAGTACATCTGAAAACTCAAAATATAAAAATGTAAATACACTTAGCTTCACACAATGAAGTGATACCAGTTTAGGAATGATGGTTCATTTTCATGACTGAAGAACTGAATCTTTACAGGCATAAAATCATTTAGAAATAGTTGCATTTGAATACATATGCTTAGAAACTATTCCTGATCAAGTCTTCCTAAGTCAAGACTTACTTTCCAAAGGGAAAGTCATGAACCTAATCAATGTTTACATTCAGGGACAATTAAATTGGAAAATTAGCAAAATGCTCATTTAACTTTACTGAAGCAAATGTCTTACAGTACCTGCATATAGGTAAGTTTCAAAAAAGTGTTGTTATGATTTAATGTTCCTCTAACTCTTCCAAGTATTTCTATATTTTTATTCATATGAGAGTTTTGATACTCAGTTTCTATCCAAAGATGAAAATTCAAAATTACTGAGAAAGTATTTGCCATTCAGTGCTTTGAATTTAAATGCTGTCTAGTATTAACGTGGCTTTATATGTTATTTTATTATACTAACTTGGTTTACTATAGTGTTAACAAAACTGTTTTAATATTAACATAGGGAAATAAGTCTTCAGTGCATATTATGTAATCACAGCCAATAGAATAATCATTTTCTCTACTTCTAAGAGAAAGAAAAAACAGCACAAGTGTAAAAGAAAGAGTCAAGCACTGCCTCTGCAAAACAAGACCAAAACACAAAGGAAATGCTTGTTAGTCTGAAAAGTTGATAGACGATTCAGAAATAGCCAGGAACAAGACACAGAACCGAATGGCCAGTTGGTAATTTCAGCTTCTGAAAGGCAACATTAAGAACAAGCAGACAGTAGAAAGAAACCACAAACAATAGATGGAACAAAAGGAGCAAAAAATAAGCAAGAACCACAGCTGCCAAAAGAATTCACGTATGGTTGAAACTGCATCAGGAAATCATTATGAAAATAAAAACCAATATGGATTGCTTCCAAAGCCATTAAGAAAATTGCAGCATAGCAGAAAGCATATTGTATATGCCTTTATATACTAACGAATTTTTTTTGTATTAATGTTATATATAAACTGCATGGTTTGTTTTACCCATTCAGATTATACTATTATCTTCTAGATGTGAGGGGTAAACTTCTCTTCAGGAAGAGTGAAAAAGGCATAGGGAATCACGCAAGTTCTTC